GTTTTCTTTATGTTGAGGCGTAATCCATACTGAAGGCTGTGGTCTTTGATCTTCATCAGTAAGTGCTTCAAGTCCTCTTCACTTTCAGCAAGCAAGGCTGTGTCATCTGCATATCGCAGGTTGTTAATGAGTTTTCCTCCAATCCTGACGCCCCGTTCCTCTTCATATAGTCCAGCTTCTCGGATTATTTGCTCAGCAGACAGACTGAACAGGTATGATGAAAGGATACAACCCTGATGCACACCTTTCCTGACTTTAAACCATGCTGTATCCCCTTGTTCTGTTCGAATGACCGCCTCTTGATCCCTGTACGGTTCCTGATGAGCACAATTAAGTGTTGTGGAATTCCTATTCTTCACAATGTTATCCTTCCTATAGAAACCCTTGATTTTTTTTTTTTTTTCCTGTTGGCGGATGATGCCTGATTCATGAATCCTTTGGTCCTGCTCAAATAAATTTAAAATCTGCCTTGTTGCTGTTGTGTGCCACTGAGTCCATTCTGACTCCTAGTGACCCTATAGGACAGAGTAGAACTGCCCCATAGGGTTTTCTAGGCTGAAATCTTAACGGAGCCCTGGTGGCATAGTTGTTAAAGTGCTCAGCTGTTAACGGAAAGGCTGACAGTTCGAATTCACCAGCTCCTCCACAGGAGAAAGATGTAGCAGTCTGCTTCTGTAAAGATGACAGCCTTGGAAACCCTATGGGGCAGTTCTACTCTGTCCTACTGGGTCGCTATGAGTCGGAATCGACTCGATGGCAGTGGGTGGGAATCTTAACAGGAGAGATCTCCAGGTCTTTCTCCTTCGGAGCCACTGGGTGGGTTTGAACTGCCGACCTTTTGGTTAGCAGCCAAGTGCTTCACCACTGCGCCACCAGGGCTCCTTACAATCTACCTTAGTCTCTGACGTTTTCTTTGACAGTGGACACCGCCTGGTTCATGTCAGCCACCTTGCTCCTGGGCTGTGGCCCACCCAGTTCCCTCACCCACCCTCAGGGAGGGCCCAGCCCTCCCCTGAGGTCTCAGCAGCTTGAGTGGGGGTCAGATGTTACCTGCCAGGTTACCTGCTTTCCACTGCTGCCGCCGCCGCTGCCTCTGGCTTCTCTTCAGCCCTGGGCAGGACAAACTCTGGCTGGGGCCGCCCACTGAGGACAGACAGAGCCAGGTGATGAGCGGCCAGGGACCCAGGGGCTGAGGACAAGGTGGGCCTGGGTCTGCTGCCCCCGCTCCTGGAGCTGCTCCTGAGAGTGCTTACCCGTGGTGGGGGTTGTGGAGGTGGGAGCCAGACCTTTGGCCAGGACCAGGGGTTACATGAAGTGGTGGCCAGTTGAGGAGGTGGGCGTAAGGAGGAGAGGAAGGACCCTTGACTATTCCTTCTGAGCATCTATCTCAGCTGGTCATCAGAACCACAGATGTGCACTTACTGGGTGCATCCTGTCCACCCTCCGCCACCCCATGTAGCCTATGAGGCACCGGGTCAGCCACCAAGGGAGGGCCCAGCTCAGCTGCCAGCCCTGACCTCCACCCGCCTCGGAACTGACAGAGGTAGCTCTGAACCTACCTTTCCCTCCTGGCCTTGATTCTTTCCTCTTCGTACCTGGAAGGATAAAAAGGACGTCAGACACAGCCCTCTCTTCTGCATAGATGCACTGCCAGGGGATTTCCTTCCCTCTGGGAGCAAGGAGCAATCCCCTTGTAGTATCTGAGTACACACCTGAGCAGCAGGTACAGTTTCACTGGTCAGGCTCCTATACCTACTTCAGAAGCTCCTTAGCCATGAGACCAGAAGAACTGGATGGTGCCCAGTTACCATTACTGAATGTTTTGATCAAGGACCCAATAGATGAATCCTGAGCGAAAGAGGAGAAACTGTGGAACAGAATTTCAATTCTTGCAGAATCCAGACTCACTGGACCTATTGAGACTAGAGGAATCCTTGAACCTATTGCTCTGAGAAAATCTTCAAATCGTGAACTGAAATTATCCTGGAGTCATCTTTAAACTAAACGGTTTAGCTAAATTAGTAAAGAATGTTCAACATGAGCACTGTGCTCTTCTAAAGAATAATCCATGTGAGATCAAATTGTCAACAGTAACTCTAAACTGTAGATGAGAAGTTTAGGGGGTAGTGTGTCTAAGTCAATGGTGGTGAAGCAAAATAGGGAGACAGCAAAAACGGGGACACAAGAAGAACGGAACCAATGTCATTGAACTGGACATGTAGAAACTGATGAATGGGTGTACGTTTTGCCGTGTATTTTTTTTTAAATCAAAATTAAAAAAAAAAAAGTTCTCCCAGGGCAGGGAGCACTGATTGTGTTAACGTGCTCGACTGTTAACCGAGATGTTAGAGGTTTGAGTCCACCCAGAGGTGCCTTGGAAGAAATGCCTGGTGATCTACTTCCAAAAAAATCAGCCACTGAAAACTCTATGGGGCGTAGTTCTGTTCCAACATATGTGGAGTCAACCTCACAGCAACTAGTTATTCCAGCATCTGGTGTAGTTGTAACTTGGTAGACTTTTTTGCCTAATTCAGCATCAGGGATTGGATGATGCCATTACACACTGGCACTCTTGCTGGCATGGGGTAGTCTATACACCCCCACATCAGGGTCAGCAAACTCCTTCTGTCGCGGGCCAGACAGTAAATACTTTCGGCTTCACGGGCCACACAGTCTCCATCAAACTTAACTCTGCCATCGTAGTGAAAGCAGCCAGAGATGATATGTAAACAAATGGATGCGGCTGTGTGCCAATAAAACTTTATTTACAAACACAAATGGGGGGCCAGGTTTGGTTTGTTGACTCCTGACCTGTAGTAAATGCATCAGGCTGCTGTGCTCTTTGACCTCAAAGGTGAGCTTGTCTTATGGACTGAATTGTGTCTCCCTCCCAAAAAGATATGCTGAAGTCCTAACCCCTGTACCCGTGAACATGACCTTATTTGGAAACAGGGTCTTTGAACAAGTTAGCAGTTGACACGAGGTCATACTGGAGTAGGGTGGGTCCTAATCCTATATGAGTTGTGTCCTTATAAAAGGGAAGATACTGAAACAGAGACAGAGGAAGGAAGGCATGTGACATGTGACAATGCATCTATGAGTCAAGGAAAGTCTGGGGCTGCCAGAAGCTGGGAAAGACAAGGAAGCATCTTCCCCTAGAGCAGAAAGAGAGAGACAGCATGGCCCTACTGACACCCTGCTTTTGGACTTCCAGGCTCTAGAACTCTGAGACAATAAATTTCTGTTGTTGAAAGCCACCCAGACTGTGGCTTTTGTTACAGCAGCTCTAAGAAACTAATACAGCTTGCTTCCTCTGTTTCACTGGGGGCTGGGAAAGCACAGAGCTGGCCTTGCTAGAATTGCACTGGCACATAGTGGGGTCCACCATGTGTCTGTCAGTGTGTCGTACTGTGGTGGCTTGCGTGTTGCTGTGATGCTGGAAGCTATGCCACCAGTATTTCAAATACCAGCAGGGTCACCTATGATGGATAGGTTTCAGCAGAGCTTCCAGAATAAGACAGACTAGGAAGAAGGCCCTGACGATCTACTTTTAAAAAAACTGGCCAGTGAAAACCTTATGAACAGCAGCAGAACATTGTCTGATATAGTGCTGGAAGCTGAGCCCCCCCAGCTTGGAAGGCACTCAAAATTCTACTGGCAAAGAGCTGCTTTCTCAAAGTAGAGTCGATCTCAATGACGTGGATGGCATCAAGCTTTCGGGACCTTCATTTGCTGATGTGGCATGACTCAAAATGAGAAGAAACAGCTGCAAACATCCATTAATAATCAGAACACGGAATGTATGAAGTATGAATCTAGGAAAATTAGAAGCTCTCAAAAATGAAATGGAATGCTTGAAGATAGATATCCTAGGCATCAGTGAGCTGAAATGGACTGGTATTGGCCATTCTGAATCAGACAACCATATGGTCTACTATGCCAAGAATGACAAATTGAAGAGGAATGGTATTGCATTCATCATCAAAAAGAACATTTCAAGATCTCTCCTGAATTACAACACTGTCAATGATAGGATAAAATCCATATGACTACAAGGAAGACGAGTTAATACGACTGTTATTCAAATTTACACACCAACCACTAAGGCCAAAGATGAGGAAACTGAAGATTTTTACCAACTTCTGCAGTCTGAAATTTTTTACCAACTTCTGCAGTCTGAAATTGATCAAACACACAATCAAAATGCATTGAAAATTACTGGTGACTGGAATGAAAAGTTGGAAACAGAGATGAAAGACCAGCAGTTGGGAAACATGGCCTTGGTGTCAGAAACGATGCCGTAGATTGCATGGTAGAATTTTGCAAGCCCAACAACTTATTCATTGGAAATACCTTTTCAACAACATAAATGGCACCTATACACGTGAACCTCCCCAGATGGAATACACGGGAATCAAATCGACTACATCTGTGGAAAGAGACGATGGAAAAGCTCAATATCATCAGTCAGAACAAGGCCAGGGGCCAACTGCAGAACAGACCATCAATTGCTCATATGCAAGGGTCATGGATTGAATTATGTCCCCCCAAAAATGTGTGTATCAATGTGACTGGGCCACGATTCCCGGTATTGTGTGGTTGGTTGTCCTCCATTTTGTGATTATAATTTTATGTTAAAGAGGATCAGGGTGGGATTGTAACACCACCCTTACCCAGGTCACATCCCTGATCCAATGTAAAGGGAGTTTCCCTGGGGTGTGCCCTGCACCACCTTTTATCTCTCAAGAGACAAAAGGGAAGCAAGCAGGCAGTTGGGGACCTCATACCACCAAGAAAGCAGTGCCAGGAGCAGAGCACGTCCTTTGGACCTGAGGTTCCTGTGCAGAAAATCTCCTAGATCAGGGGAAGATTGATGGTGAGGAGGACCTTCCTCCAGAGCCGACAGAGAGAAAAAGCCTTTCCCTGGAGCTGACGCCCTGAATTTGGACTTCTAGCCTACCAGAGTGTGAGAAAATAAATTTCTCTTTGTTAAAGCCATCCACTTGTGATATTTCTGTTACAGCAGCACTGGATGACTAAGACAGCAAGTTCAAGTTGAAGCTGAAGAAAATAAAAACAAGCCTACGACAGCCAAAGCATGACCCTGAGTATATCCCGCCTGAATTTAGAGACCACCTCAAGAATAGATTTGAAGCACTGAACACTAATGACCGAACACCAGACTCATTAACAACCTGTGTTATGCAGATGACACAACCTTGCTTGCTGAAAGTGAAGAGGACCTGAAGCACTTACTGATGAAGATCAAAGACCACAGCCTTCAGTATGGATTACACCTCAACATACAGAAAACAAAAATTCTCAGAACTCTTTAATAAGCAACATCATGATAAATGGAGAAAATATTGAAGTTGTCAAGGGTTTCATTTTACTTGAATCCATAACCAATGCCCATGGAAGCAGCAGTCAAGAAATCAAATAACATATTGCATTGGGCATATCTGTTGCAAGACCTCTTTAAAGTGTTAAAAAGCAAAGACATCACTTTGAGTACTAAGGTGCACCTGACCTAAGCCTGGGTATTGCCTCATACGCATGGGAAAGATGGACCTTGAATAAAGAAGACCAAAGAAGACCTGATGCATTTGAATTATGGTGTTGAATCTACCATGGACTGTCAGAAGAAGAAACAAATCTGTCTTGGAAGAAGTACAGCCAGAATGCTTCTTAGAAGCAAGAATGGCGAGACTACATCTCACATACCTTGGACATGTTATCAGGAAGGGTCAGTCCCTGGAGAAGGACGTCATGCTTGGTAAAGTAGAGGGTCAGCAAAAAAGGGGAAGACCCTCAATGAGATGGACTGACACAGTGGCTGCAACAAGGGCTCAAACACAGCAACGATTGTGAGGATGGTGCGGTGTTTCATTCTGTCGCGCCTAGGGTCGCTGTGAGTCGGTACCTGCTTGGCGGCACCTAACAACCACCACGATAATGTAGTCATTAAAAATCACGCTTGAGATGAAAAACAGGTGTCTGTCGGTGAGGATGTGGAGGAATGGGAACCCTCATCCATTGCTGGTGGGACTGTAAAATGATGCAGCCTCTGTGGAAAACAGTTTGGCAGGTCCTCAAAAAGTTAAACACAGAACTACCATTCTTGTTGCCGGGTGCCATGGAGTCGATTCCGACTCATTGTGACACCAGGTGACGGAGTAGAATTGCCCCGGAGGGTTTCCTAGGCTGTCATCTTTACAGAAGCAGATGTCAGGTCTTTTCTCATGCGGAGCAGCTGGTGGATTTGAACCACCGACCTTTTGGTTAGCAGCCAAGTGCTTAACCACTTTGCCACCGGAGCTCCTTAGAACTACCATAGGACCCACCAATTCCACTTTCAAGAGAAATAAAAACTGAGACTCAGACAGACACCTGTATACCAATGTTCACGCAGCACTCTTCACAAGAGCCAAAAAGTAGAAACAACCCAGGTGTCCATCAGCAGGTGATGGATAAACACAGTGTGGCCCAGCCATCCATCCAATGGAATATTACTCCGCCATAAAGAGCAATGGAGTCCTTCTCTGACACGGATGAACCTTGCAAATGTTATGCTGAGTGAAACAAGACAGACACAGCAGGGCGAACATTGTATGACCCCACTTATATGAAGCATCAAGAATAGGCAAACCTACAGACACCAGGGGCAGGAGGGAGGAGGAGAGGGGAGTCATTACTTGAGGGGCGCTGCGCTTCGGTTAAGGTGATGGACAAGCTTGGAAGCAGACAGTAGTGACGGCTGCATAACATTACAAATGTAATTAATGTCACTGAACCGTACATGTAAAAAATGTTGAAATGGCAAAAATTTCATTATCTGTATATATTTATATACAGTATGCCTGTGAAAGCTGGAACCCGTGTAAGACAGAAACTTGTCAGAGAAGGAAAACTCGAGTATTTTCCACTAAAAGGAGAGGTAGGTAAGTGGTAAGATGCCCCCTGTCAAAGGCGGAGAACTTCAGCTCTCACAGGTTTCACTGTGACATCTGGTTTTGGTGATATAGTGAAACCTGTGAGAGCCGGAACCTGTCGGGACTGCCTTGTTTTTCTGGGTATTGAAAGCTTTCCGTCGCTCGGCTGCTAACCAAAACGTCGGCAGTTTGAATCCACCAGCCGCTCCTTGGAAACCCTAAGGGGCAGTTCTACTCTGTCCTATGAAGTCACTATGAGTTGGAATCGACTTGATAGCAATGGGTTTATGTATATTAAAAAAAAAAAAACCATTGCCGTGGATTTCAACTCACAGTGTATATGTAGATATATATAGGAGCCCTGGTGGTAAATGGTTAAGCGCTTGGCTGCTAACTGAAAGGTTGGCAGTTTGAACCCCCCCAGAGGATCTGAGGGAGAAAGACTGGTGGCGGTCTGCTCCCATAAAGATTGAAGCCTAGGAAACCCTATGGGGCAGTTCTACTCTGTCACATGGGGTCGCTACGAGTCGGAATTGACCTGACGACCCCTAACAACAGCATATATACATATATATACACACACACATATAGTATATAAACATATTTTATATGTATAGAAAATGAAAAACTTGCCATTTCAACATTTTTGACATGTACAATTCAGTGACATTAAGTATCTATTACATAAAGCATATATAACCAAAGAAACCAAACCCATTGCCATTGAGCTGATTCTGACTCATAGTGACCCTATAGGACTGAGCAGAACTGCCCCATAGCGTTTCCAAGGAGCGGTCGGTGGATTTGAACTGTTGACCTTTTGATTAGCAGCCAAATGCTTAACCACTTCGCCACCAGGGCTCCAAAGTGTGTATATATATATATACTTTTTTTTCCTGCTACATATTTAAAAACATTTATGGTGAGTATATATATTTTAAAAATTGCCGTTTCAACATTTTCGCCACAATAAAAAGAAAATGATGCTTGGAGACTGTTCGACGGCATGAAGAAATGGGGACGTGTTTGCGACGTCATGCTTAGTGCCAGCAGAGAGGACACGCAGCACAAGGTCATGTCAGCCAGCTCTGGGTGGCCCACGAGAGACGGTTTCCAGGGTGTCAAGTGGCTTCGGCCCCTCTGTTCCATCCGCTCTTCCCCTCACTTCCGGTTCCCACAGGCAGCCGCGTTGGGCGGAGCCCGCGGGACTGGAAAGTGAAGGGCGTAGGAACAGGCGGAGGGACTGAGAGCTGGGGGCAGTTGGGGCCAGGCCGGCCGAGTCACGGCTCAGGTACTCACTGGAGGACGCAGTCTGGGATCTGGACATGCTCCATGGGGATGAGCTGCTCCAGGTCCTCCAAGCTGTGCACATACTGGATCTTGTTGATGAACTTCACGCTGGCAGGAGAGAGATGGGGAGATGCCTGAAACCCCAAAGCACTTAGTGTGGTTACCCAAGGCCCAGAGAGAAGGAATGCAGGCAGGAAGCACCCACGACCCCATTCTAGAAATCGCCAGGCACCTAAGCTCAAACCTCCCTCCTTGCTTGGTCCACACTCCCTAGTGGGGTGTGGAGAGGAGAACCCGAGGTCGGACTCCAAAGCCTTTGCCAGAAGGGAAGGTGTTATGAATTGAATTGTGTTCCCCCAAAATACATGTTGGCATCGTAAATTCTATACCCATCAATGTAAGGAGCCCTTATGGTGCAATGGTTAAGCGCTGGCTGCTAAGCAAAAGATTGGCAGTTTGAACCACCAGCAGCTCCTCAGAAGAAAGACCTGGTGATCCGCTCCTGTAAAGATTACAGCCTTGGAAACTCTATGGGGCTGTTCTACTCTGTCCTATAGGGTCGTTATGAATGGAATTGACTCGAGGGCACACAGCAACATACTTGTGCGTGTAATCCCATTTGGGAATAGGATTTTCTTTGTTATGTTAACGAGACCATATTAGTGTAGGGTGTGTTTTAAACCCGGTGACTTTTGAGATATAAAAAGAGCAAGTTAGACACCCAAAGAAGTAAGTACAAATTGGAGAAAGACAGATGCCATGTGGAGATGGCCAAAGAACTGAGGAACCCCAGGGTCACAGAAGCTGAGACAAGGATTTTCTTCCACAACGGTTAGAGAGCCTTCCCCTAGAGCTGGTGCCCTGAATTTGGACTTCTAGCCTCCAGAAGTGGGAGAAAATAATTTTTTTTAAAGCCACCCACTTGTGGTATTTCTGTTACAGCAGCACTAGCAAACTAAGATAGAATCATCTTAGCTGTGCCATCGAGATTGGTGCCCACCGAGTCTGAAGGATGCAGAGAAGCAAGAACATTCTACTGGGCTTGAGCATAGTTTTCAATCATCTGTAAGAACTTGTCAACAATTTCATTCTTCTTGGATCAACCATCAATGCCCATGGAAGCAGCAGTCAAGAAATGACATGTTGCACTGGGCAAATCCGCTGCAAAAGACCTCTTTTAAGTTCTAAAAAGCAAAGATGCCACTTTGAAGACTAAGTTGCGCCTGACCCAAGCCATGGTGTTTTCAATCACCGTACGTGCTTGCAAAAGTTGGACAATGAAAAAGGAAGACGGAAGAAGAATTGATGCATTGGAATTGTGGTGTTGGCAAAGAATATTGCATATACCATGGACTGTCAGAAGAATGAACAAATCTGTCTTGGAGGAAGTACAGCCAGAATGCTCCTTAGACGTGAGGATGGCAAGACGATGGCTCGCTGACTTTGGACATGTCGTCAGGACAGACCAATCACTAGAAAAGGCCATCATGTTTGGCAAAGTAGAGGGTCAGTGAAAAAGAGGGAAACCTTCAGGGAGATAGTGTCTTAGTTTCTTAGTGCTGCTGTAACAGAAATACCCAAGTGGGTGGCTTTAGTAAACAGAAATTTATTTTCTCGTTGTTTAGGAGGCTAGAAGTCTGAATTCAGGGCTCTGGCACTGCTGAACATCCTTGTGTCTTTTAGCTTCTCTTCCTCTTCCTTGGTGATCTCCACAAGGCATCAATCTTTCTCCAGCCCTGCTTCCTTGCTTCTGTGCCTCATCAGCTGCTTTTATATCTCAAACGGATTGGCTCAAACACACCCTACATGGATACGGCCTCATTAACGTAACAATGAAAACCCGATTCCCAAATGGGATTACGCTCCCACGTACAGCGTTTAGGGATTCACAATACCTATTTTGAGGGGACACAGTTCAATCCGTAACAAACGAATTGACACAGCAGCCTCCACAATGGACGCAAACATACCAACGCTCGTGAGGATGGCGCAGGACCAGGCAACGTGTTCTGTTGTGCGTAAGGTCACCAGGAGTCGCAGCCGACTCAAGAGCAGCTAACTACAACAAGAACGCGCCTGTGTCTCAGGTTTTCCCGAGGACGCTTGCCTGGCACCCTTGTCACTGCTCAGGACGCCATGAACAGTCATGTGGGCACAGGAATGGGACACTGGGACAGGTGACCCACTTGTCATTCTTTAGTGGTGGACAGATTCTTCCTGTCCCAGGCACAAGTCCCATTCTGCCTGCTACCATGACATGCTTTATCATCAGCACGTTGCTCGGAGCTCATGGTTATTTAAAAAAAATTTTTTATTGTAGTTTAAGTGAAAATTTACAATTCAAGTTAGTCTCTCATACAAAAATTTATACATTGTTATGTGACC